CTTTTTTTTTGATGTCTACTGAATCTAAAACAAAAAGAAAGAAACTGGTCGTGGGGATGCGTTGGTTGGGTGAGTGAGTGTTTATTAAAAGAATGGTGGTGGTTATCGACACTCGCCGTCACGATAGTGATGAAGAATAAAACCCATAGCATCATTCTCGTTTTGTTTGGCAAGTAAATTACATTCTCATTGAATAATGTTAATTTTTTACTATATAGAATGAAATGAATGAACGAAATGAAATTATGCCATCAATCAATTTTAGGGTGTCTCTTGCCTGAAATACATGAACTCTAAAATTTAATTGATCCAATAATAATTACTGACAAACTCGGAATATATTTTTTTGAATTGAAATAAAAATTTGCACACCTTTAGGTTTGCTTTGGTGGATGCCCTTGACACAATCGATGGGTCGTGTCATGTGGCACACCTAAATAGGGTGTTGAGGAATATGAAGACAAAATGGAGGAAGCTAAAGCAATCACAGAAGATGTGACCACAAAAATGTACAAATGTCAAAGATATATTATAAGGTACAGAGAGAAGCAAAGCTATTTTCTGTTTGTTAATTGTTCATTTTGCACTATGGAAATTTGTATCAAAAATATTTCATATCGCATCAACATTACGGGATCTTTCAGATGATGATGATGATGACAACAACAACGATAATGGTAATTAGCCGTTTAAAAATCCTTAGCCGCTAAGCCGTTTACTACCTAAATTGGTAACTTTATGGCTATAATCAGAAGGTAACACGAATATTTATTCCCAAATTTAGAAATCATGCATCACTAATAGAATAAAAGGTTCTGATAGAAATTACATAATTATAGAGCTGAACATCAATTTAAAAATAAACCTAATAACATAATTTCCAAAAAGAAATTTTTCCGTGAAACAGATTTGTTAGTATTAGTATTAGGGTGAGATCAACCAATGATGCAACGATCCAAGCTGAATATCACGTGGTATCATAACAATGTTTTGATAATTCATATGGAAATTTTTTTTTCACGTAAATCTTTCATTTTATCAATCAAACAATCGATTATTAATTAAACTTCATAATTTTAATTAATTGCGGGACGGGATCGATTCTAAATGTGGGAGAAGTGCCTCTTTTCTATTAGTTATTGTTATTTTTTTAATAATTAAAAACTTTATTATCGGGCAAATCAGAACAAGAAGCAAGTATTACATAAAAATTATCCAATCATTATTCATTGCAGAAAAAAAATTTTTTTGAAAATACATTTTCTTGCACTATCAATAAAATCTACTAGACCTGTGCCCCAAAAAATTAAGTTCAATTTCAAATTGTTTTAAAGATAATATAAATTAAAAATTAATTTACACAACTAAAAGAAAAGCAAAACCCGATGATAATAATGTTTATACATTTTATACATCCACAATTAATAATTCTACAATTCAAATTTTTCGTCCTTGTCTTGTTTTGTCAATATTAAATCTCCCACGATTTTTTTGATGAAAGTTGTGTTACGCCACATGATGTTGTACCTATCCAAATTATTATATATATAATAAAATAATTTTTTCATTTTTTTTTTAAAATTATTATAATCATCAAAATTATTTAAATTACTAATTATTAAAATTTATTCTTGAAATAATTAAAATTTAATCGGAATTATTAAAATAATAAAAAATGGAAGAAGTATCATACAAATTTCTTAGAGGTAAGAGTGTAGGAGTAATTGGTTGTCCATTCAGCGGTGGCCAGGTTAGCATCATTCACGTTTAGTTATATCTTTTTGTCTTTTTTTTTTTAATTCGTACACGCTCGCTCATTCAATTATTGATTGATTAATTAAGCCTAAAGATGGTGTTGACGAGGGTCCATTGAAAATCATTGAATATGGATTGATAGAACAACTTCAAGAGATGGATTGGGACGTGGAATTTGATGGTCATCTTAAACTCACTGATCTTAAACCGAAAGATGATCCAAATATAGGGAAATTGAAACGACCTCGTTATGTTTCACGAGTTACAGAAGCAGTCTCTAGGTCTGTTGAAAGGCATCATAGAAAAGGTCAAATGGTATTAACATTAGGTGGTGATCATAGTCTCGCACTTGGCACTGTATCCGGTACTTTAGCGGTTCATCATGATGCATGTCTGATTTGGATTGATGCACACGCTGTAATTATATAATAATTTTTTATCTTTGATTTTTATGATTATTTTTTTATTTGTTGTTTATTTATTTGTTTTTTTTATTTGTTGTTTGTTTATTTGTTTTTTTATTATTTAACTTATTAGGATATAAATACACCCGAATCTACCGATTCAGGGAATTTACATGGATGCCCAGTATCTTTTCTATTAGGGATAGCAGGGAAAATGGAGGGTTTTGAGTGGATTAAGCCAAGACTTACACCAGACAGATTAGTTTATATTGGACTTCGAGATATTGATCAACCAGAAAAAAAGATTTTAAAGCAACACGGTATCAAAGCCTTTTCGATGCACGAAATCGATAAATATGGAATTGGTAAAGTAATGGAAATGGCATTGGACACAGTAAATCCGGATAGAAATCGTCCAATTCATCTTAGTTTTGACGTCGATGCACTAGATCCAACTGTTGCGCCTAGTACAGGTAACAAATAATCTGATTTTATGTCAATGTATTTAATTATATTCATTTAAATTAAAATTTCCTTTTGATTATTCTAATTTCCGATAAAGGTACACCTGTTCGTGGCGGTTTGACCTTTAGAGAAGGTCATTACATATGCGAAGCAATTCATGAAACGGGACTTTTGGTTGCCGTAGATTTAATGGTAAAGCACTTTTTTTCCAAATTTATTATTTTATTTTTATTGCCTATATATGATATAATTAATTAATTGCATTACAATCATAATTATTCTTATTGTTGTAATAATATTAAATAATTGTTACAATTATTAGGAGGTAAACCCAACGCTTGCAGATGAAGCTAGTATATTCGAAACTGTAACTGTAGGATGTTCGTTGATCAGATGTAGTTTAGGTAAATTTTTTCTGCATTCGCTAATGATTTATTTATTATTTTTAATTAATTAATTAAACAAATTTTTTTTTTTTATTTTAAACAGGCGAAACTTTACTATAATTAAAATTTATATTTACTATAATAATATAATAATAATAATAATATAATGAATGTTATAGTGCATAAAATAGAATAATTAAATGTATTCTAATAGTAATTATCAAATTTGTCTTAGTCGAAATTCACCTTTTATAGATAGAAAATAAAATAATAAAGTATAATAAAGTAATAATAATAAAATTGTTAGAATGCGTGATTTATGCGTGATTGACTCGATTTGGTTCTTTTTAAATAAATAACGTTAGTTTGACAATAAATTTTCCTTATCTAATTTTTATTTATTTTTTTTTTTTTTACAATAAATAAATGATGATATGACGTATTTCTTTTTCTTTAAAAATAAAACTAAAATATTTTTTGTTCAAGTTAAAAAAAAAAACAAAAATAATGACGGATAATAATAATAACAATAGTAATAGTAATAGTAATAGTAATAGTAATAGTAATAGTAATAGTAATAGTAATAGTAATAGTAATAGTAATAGTAATAAATGTCCAAGATTATCTAAATCTCGTTCTTCTTTAACTATACACACTTTATCTACACTGGAGGAAGAAGAAGGCGAATCAAGTGCTTCGGCATTCAATCATCTAAACAACAATAATAGCCATAATAATAACGATGAAGCTTTTTTTGATAACGAGTTAACTTTAACACCTGACGAATTATTTAAAATCATAAATTCAAATAATAATCTAAATTACAATCGTGGAAATAGAAATAATAATAATAATAATAATAATAATAATAATATAGAGGCTCTTAAAGAACTTGAAAAATTAGGTTGCATAGATCCAAATACTAACAATTACGTCAATATAAAAAAACCATCAATACCAAAACCTAAAAATTGTATCGAATATTTAAAATGGTCAAATTTTTTAAATCATTTGTTAATACCGATTTATCATGATATTGCTTTAAAACTGACTTGGCCAATGACAAAAAAAGTTTTAAAAGCTGCTGTTGCTTATTGGCTGGCTTTTCTTATAGTTCTTACCGTGCCTGTCATGAAAACAATTGGGACGGGAACTTTTTTGGCGATTGTGATGGTTTGTTATTTTCAACCATCAGGAACTTTTGGTTCTTTGGTTGAGGTAAATAAAAATTTATTTCGTAATTTAACGTTCCGAGTATTAGTATCGTGATAATGACATTTTCTGTCGATCTTTTTCTCTTGATCTTGTTATTATGAAAAAAAGAGTGCAGGCTGGGGAATAATAGGTGCATGCATAGCTACTTTATGGTCTTACGTTGGAATCAAAATATCAGATGCAATTCGTGGCGATGAAATATTTAATATAGGTTCGACAATAATTAGTTTGTTGTTCTTGGCTATTGGTACCTTCATCCTTTCATATGATAAGATTAAATGGCCCCCTATGAGATATGGTTCCATCAATGCTTGTATCATAATGACATTTTCTTTAACTCAATCATACATAAAACCCCAAGATACCAATAATATATTGGTTAGTCTGATTTTCCTTTCCCCTTTGTTATATTTTAATAAAGGAATTCATTACTAATCTTTTTTTTTATGGGAAATCAGAAAACGCTGGTGATACCAATGCTTATTGGTCCTGCATGTTCATTGATTGTCAATATATCATTATGGCCAGAAAACGCTACAACGAATTATATACCATATTTACATGCCACGTTACAAAGCTTCATACATCTATTGGAACATGAAACTCATTTTTTTTTATGCGACCCATACAATCGTAACACAATTGCTATGTTTCATCGTCAAGCACAAGATAATTTACTGAATTTGGACACAGCTAAACGTGAAGCTCAACATGAAATAAGTTTTTCAAAAATTGGTCCACAGGATTTAATTGAGATCAACAGGTTGGTGAAATCTATGCATATGACTTTAGGTGGCTTGGCGTTAAGTGGAGTGATTGAGGAGGAATTGATGAAAGATGGTCAAGAGGGTACAGTCCAGATACTTTTAGATACAAATGCTGAACATGAACTAACTGCTGGCATACAACATCAGCATCGACAACGACAACAACAGCAAAGTAATAATGATGTCAATAATGATGTCAATAATGATATCAATAATGATAGCAACAACAACAATAACAGCAGCGATAATTATAGGAATCGTTATGGATTTCGTAATCGTCTGAACAGTTATTCTAGTAGTTGTTATTCATATTATCCATCTGTAGCACCGACTAGCTCAGCAAACACCACGGGAAGTGAAGAAGATTTAGATAAATTATTAGATATTTTCAAACAAATTTGTAGTGAGCTATCTGAAACATGTCAATTGTGTCTAGCAGATTGTGTATCTCGTGTTGATCATCTGCGACATAATTGTAGTTCACCATGGTATTATAGATGGTTGCCATTCGGCAACAATTCTGCCATTTCCCATAAAACTAGTCCATTGAATGATCCACTGGAGTATCTACGGTCGGCCATTAGAAATTATCAGCAGGCTCGTCGTATATATCTGGATCGTTTATTTAGCGAAACACCAACAATAAGTCCGTCACCACAACGTGTGTTATTACTATTGATGTTCTTTGAAAATGATTTGATGGTCTTTGCTGAAAGTTTAGGTTCTCTGGTTGGCCTTATAAAAGTATTGGAAACTTCTCGACATTTCAAAAAACTTTGGATGCCACCAATTCCTTTACTAAAACGAATGCATAATGTTGGTGAGATTAATGAGGATGGTTGGAGAATCTTTGAGACACAAAGTAGACGTGAACAAGAAGAAGAATTGGGGATGGAATTTTATGATCCAGATGTTACTCTTCCAACCACAAAAATACAAAAATTATGGTATAATTTATGGCGAATAAGAAATTGGTTTGATAGTAAATATGCTAGATATGCTTTTAAAAATACAATTGTGGTGACAGCTTTAGGCATACCCGCTTTTTTACCTTATTCATATGAATGGTTTGATAATTATCGTGGTCAGGTAAACAATAATTAATTATTATTATGGTCATTTTATTATTGATGCAATGCGATCGATTATTTATATATGATTGTATGATAATTTTGTAGTGGGCAATAATAAGTGCAGTGTTATCATTTTCACCAACAACAGGTGGTGCAGTATTGCAATTAGTTGGAAGATTATTAGGATCAGTTGTCGGTGCTAGCATGGCAATAATAGCTTGGATGATTACAGGCGGAAACACTTATGGATTGGCCACTGTATTATTTTTATTCTCTTTATTACTTTGGTTTGTATATTTAAATGCTAAAGTTTGGACCGTTGGTGGTGTGATAATGTTGGTAAACTTTGCATTAGTGTTGGCTAATGCTTATCAGGCTAGTATGGGTGTTGGAATGCATGATGATGTTTTAGTTGTTGCTAAAAAGGTATTTTTATAATTTTATAATTTATTTGTTTATTTTTATTTTATCTATAAATAAATTATAAATTCATTAATTTTTATATTATTAGCGTACATCTGCAGTAATTGTTGGTATAACAGCTGCATTTATTATGACAATGTTCCCATGGCCACACGCAGGAAGAGTAGAAGTGAGACATCGATTAGCACACACAATAACCGACATAGGAGTACTTTATTCAATGACTGTCTCATCGCTGTTAAAAGAAACCAAATCCAATTCACTAAGCACAACCAAACCATTTCGTAAGTTGGTTTCACGAATCAATCGATCAATCGGCATTGCACGATTATTATTGTCAAGAACAGTTTACGAACCACCATTACGTGGAAATTATCCCGAGGAAAAATATAAAAGGATGATCGATATAGTTGAAAACATGTTGAATTTAGTTTGTGGAATTGAACACGAATTGTTGAGTTTGAATGGAACAGAGTGGAAAACAGACTTGGCTGATGTTTTATCACCAGCAAAATGTCACTACGTCACACACATCTTGACCGCATTTCATATCTTGGGGACAGCTTTAGAAAATCGTGTTAGTCTACCACCTTATAATATTGTGGCATCTGGTGATGCGAAATTTGGATTGGCTGGAAAAATAAGTTATAAGATCAGTAGAACTGCGTCCGGATTATCAAAACATAACTTTGAAACGCCGGCTTATGCATGTTATTGTGCTTATTTGATAAAGTCTAGTCATCTAATTAATGAGTTGATGAAGTTGGTTGGTGTCGTCAAAAGTTTAGTTGGTGTTAATAGATATGTTAAAGAGTTGATTGATTTTTAGAATTTTTGGATTTAATTAATCACTTGGTAGTCCATTCGTACACATAATCATTCTTATCTATTAATGTATATATGAATCCAAATTCATTTTCACACACTACATATATCCATTTCTCACATATTCATTCATTCATTGTATTTCTTCATCCAATTTACAATTTGTTAATGTACATTTTTCATAGAATATAGAACATTATTTGTGAAAATAAGTAGTCTTTATGCTAACACTTGCCACAATTGTACTACACTATATATTAATATGGAGGACTAATAATTTGCATCAACATCATCATCGTCAATCCTTTCTCCAACACCAACGAACATCAATATTATTCTCAACAACCAAAAATGAATTGTTTATCCAATCTCAGAGGTTGTTTCTCCTAATGCCAGCGAGCATCAAAAATCAATAGCGGGTTTTGTATGTGTGAGAAGTTTTTGTAAATCAGTACCAAAAATAAAATTTATGGAACCAGCTCAAAGCTGATCCTGATTTCCATTCTGTAACATAGCAAATATATAATTAATTATCTATGTAATGTTGAAGAGTCAAAACGTGGAAAGATATTTGAATTTGTTAAAAAATCTAATTATAAAATTAAATTTTGCTCGAAGTACTTCGGCTACTAATACTAAGAGAGGTAGTTTCCTTGGTGTATGGGAGAAGAATTCTAGGTCCCTGACTCTTAAGCAACAGGTCATAAGTGGGTAAATCTGTTGTGGCAAGATTTGTAAGTTTTGTAAAAAAAACGCAATAGTCTTTACTTGTTACTAAATACTTGATCGAATTGTTCGTTTATTATTTATGTAGGAATAGGAAAATTTTTATTATCTATTTGTATTAAAATAACTGATTCTACTATAAAAAATACACATAAGCGTTTATAATATTATAATAATGTAATCGTTTGCATATTAAATGATTATTAGTGTTATCATCGTCAGTTATGTTGTACCTATAATTAACTACGGTGGAGTTTAATTTTCACGTATCAACATGCGAATTGCATTTTCATTTTCACGCACAACAATATCATAAAAATACACTTTCATTCCCATTGCTTCGGAATAGAGCAGGTTCCGAAATGTCGATCTCTTTATATAAACGTATGTGGCATCGATATCAAAACATTTGGAATAAATTCCAGTATTGCACACTTATGAAATAAGGGAACTAATTGAAGTCTTCCACTGAGGAGGCAAATCTTTAATAAATTACGAATTATCACACAATCACTGCAAAAAATAACACGCAAGTCACGTGGAAGTTTCCTATTTTAAAGAACTTTTTGAGATAAATAATTAATAGTCATATGTAAAATACCCTTATGAAAAACAGCAGCCCAATCAACCAATCAACATCATGACTCATGAGATTTATTTTTAGTGTTATTGACAATTCATCTTTTACAAGTGGCAACTCATTATGGTTTAATGTGAGTGTTTCTGTTATTGATTCTTTGTATTATCTTAATGGTTGACAAAATAGTGAATAATTGATGATTATTATTATCATTATCGAATAATAGTAATTCGATAGTGGTGTTCTCTTTTCTTAATGATGTAGACTTTGATGCAATAATAAAAATTTCTGCAAGAAAAAAACCTCCGAAAATCAAAGATAAAAAATTATTATATAATTACAGCGTGTGCATCAATCCAAATCAGACATGCATCATGATGAACCGCTAAAGTACCGGATACAGTGCCAAGTGCGAGACTATGATCACCACCTAATGTTAATACCATTTGACCTTTTCTATGATGCCTTTCAACAGACCTAGAGACTGCTTCTGTAACTCGTGAAACATAACGAGGTCGTTTCAATTTCCCTATATTTGGATCATCTTTCGGTTTAAGATCAGTGAGTTTAAGATGACCATCAAATTCCACGTCCCAATCCATCTCTTGAAGTTGTTCTATCAATCCATATTCAATGATTTTCAATGGACCCTCGTCAACACCATCTTTAGGCTTAATTAATCAATCAATAATTGAATGAGCGAGCGTGTACGAATTAAAAAAAAAAAGACAAAAAGATATAACTAAACGTGAATGATGCTAACCTGGCCACCGCTGAATGGACAACCAATTACTCCTACACTCTTACCTCTAAGAAATTTGTATGATACTTCTTCCATTTTTTATTATTTTAATAATTCCGATTAAATTTTAATTATTTCAAGAATAAATTTTAATAATTAGTAATTTAAATAATTTTGATGATTATAATAATTTTAAAAAAAAAATGAAAAAATTATTTTATTATATATATAATAATTTGGATAGGTACAACATCATGTGGCGTAACACAACTTTCATCAAAAAAATCGTGGGAGATTTAATATTGACAAAACAAGACAAGGACGAAAAATTTGAATTGTAGAATTATTAATTGTGGATGTATAAAATGTATAAACATTATTATCATCGGGTTTTGCTTTTCTTTTAGTTGTGTAAATTAATTTTTAATTTATATTATCTTTAAAACAATTTGAAATTGAACTTAATTTTTTGGGGCACAGGTCTAGTAGATTTTATTGATAGTGCAAGAAAATGTATTTTCAAAAAAATTTTTTTTCTGCAATGAATAATGATTGGATAATTTTTATGTAATACTTGCTTCTTGTTCTGATTTGCCCGATAATAAAGTTTTTAATTATTAAAAAAATAACAATAACTAATAGAAAAGAGGCACTTCTCCCACATTTAGAATCGATCCCGTCCCGCAATTAATTAAAATTATGAAGTTTAATTAATAATCGATTGTTTGATTGATAAAATGAAAGATTTACGTGAAAAAAAAATTTCCATATGAATTATCAAAACATTGTTATGATACCACGTGATATTCAGCTTGGATCGTTGCATCATTGGTTGATCTCACCCTAATACTAATACTAACAAATCTGTTTCACGGAAAAATTTCTTTTTGGAAATTATGTTATTAGGTTTATTTTTAAATTGATGTTCAGCTCTATAATTATGTAATTTCTATCAGAACCTTTTATTCTATTAGTGATGCATGATTTCTAAATTTGGGAATAAATATTCGTGTTACCTTCTGATTATAGCCATAAAGTTACCAATTTAGGTAGTAAACGGCTTAGCGGCTAAGGATTTTTAAACGGCCAACATTACTGCTTTTATCCCAGAATTTCTATGATCTTAATTCAGCCCAAATTCTTTAAATTTAACCAAAATAAATTTTAAACAATAGATTCGATCTTCTCTTGATTGTCTAAAATAAGGTAGCCTACACATTTGGAATTTTGACACTTCTCTTTGGAATCAACGAATTTTATTTTTACAACTTCTTTTTTTATCAGAAAAGAGGGCTATTATAAAAAAAAAAATCTTCCCATTCCTTTTCATTCATATATATTATATTACTAATGTATTGTATGATTTAAAAATTTTTTTTTTTTAAAAAAACCTTTAAAATCAACCTTTGCACACTTTTTTTAATTCCAAGAAAAAAATTTTTTTTTAGAATAAAAAAAATAAAAAATAAAACTTTAAAAATCAAATGAAAAATAAGCGAAACTATTTATTTGATCAACCAACCTGTGTGGTAAAAAACATTCTTTTAGATCCATCACTTTCCATTATAGATCGATGTAATATTTCTCAAACATGTAGAACTTTACACAATTTCACTTCAACTTTGTATTCAGCATTTGACTTTCCACTTTCTCCAAATAAAATAACTTCTTTAGCTCAAAAAAGACAATCTATAGTAACTGCGGATAATTTTCAAAGCGTTCCTACAATTTTGGTTCGTTCTGGAGTTTACAATATTGCAATTGGGTTTAGTAATGGTGATGATTATTCCGCCATATTTTTTAATAAAAAATGTATTGTCAGAGTTGTCAAGGTTAAACATCCTAAATCATCATCCTCAAAAAGTACTGTACAAATAGAATGCCTATATTCCATTTTGGTTCAACGAATCCTGTTTACTTGTTTTAGATTTAAAGACAGAATATTACAAATCGAATCTCCTAAAGGCAAAGATTACTTTGCTCATACATCAACTTTAAATGATATATTGGAAAAGTATGGATTGATCGCAATTCGTAGAAATTATGGTATCGCTTCAACAAAAAATGATGATATCAAAGACAATGATAACATTAATATTAAACATAATAATTTAATTAATAATAACATCAACAATAACATTATGAATAACAACAACACCACCATCAACATTAATATTAACAATAATGATTATAACGATTATTATACTGCTGAGTCAATATGGAATAGTTCAAAGACTAGGCGCGAACTTATTTCAAAAGGTGTTGTTAGTATGATTCGAAGGTTTCGTCAAAGAGATCAAGCCAGCACAAAGGAACCACAAAAGATTTCAAGTTCTGGAAATCAAAGATGGTTTATCAAGGTATTGACGCAATTTCATTATAGGTATTTGATTTGCCAACAAAAACTTTATGTCTATGGCACTTCACTAAAAAATAGACATCAGGAAATTATAAATTTTTTAGATATTGAATTTAAAAATTCTCTAAAAAAAACTTATCAATCTTATTGGTCTATTATTAATAAAAAAAAATCCCCTCAATGTTTAGCGACTAAATTATCTAATAGTCTTGGATCATCCTCAAATTGCAGTATTAATAATGATGATGGCTATGATGGAAATTTTGAAAAGTTTATAACAATGACAGAGATGGAACAACAATTAGCACAATTAAATGAGCGACACTTGTTTCTTGGTACTCTTATGGAAAGGTTTAAATCAGTCATTTTAGAAAATCAAAGTTTAGACTCATGTTTTATGGTGTTTAGAAATTATAATCTACAGACTTTATATGAAAGTTTACGTACAAACTTGACAAAAGTTTTACATAAATATGATAAAGTTGTTGTAGTGATAGATGAATTATCAACAAAATTTCAAAATCTTCTTAAACAATTATATGAACAAGATATGCGTAATAAATATGCTAAGTCATCTAATTAATGAGTTGATGAAGTTGGTTGGTGTCGTCAAAAGTTTAGTTGGTGTTAATAGATATGTTAAAGAGTTGATTGATTTTTAGAATTTTTGGATTTAATTAATCACTTGGTAGTCCATTCGTACACATAATCATTCTTATCTATTAATGTATATATGAATCCAAATTCATTTTCACACACTACATATATCCATTTCTCACATATTCATTCATTCATTGTATTTCTTCATCCAATTTACAATTTGTTAATGTACATTTTTCATAGAATATAGAACATTATTTGTGAAAATAAGTAGTCTTTATGCTAACACTTGCCACAATTGTACTACACTATATATTAATATGGAGGACTAATAATTTGCATCAACATCATCATCGTCAATCCTTTCTCCAACACCAACGAACATCAATATTATTCTCAACAACCAAAAATGAATTGTTTATCCAATCTCAGAGGTTGTTTCTCCTAATGCCAGCGAGCATCAAAAATCAATAGCGGGTTTTGTATGTGTGAGAAGTTTTTGTAAATCAGTACCAAAAATAAAATTTATGGAACCAGCTCAAAGCTGATCCTGATTTCCATTCTGTAACATAGCAAATATATAATTAATTATCTATGTAATGTTGAAGAGTCAAAACGTGGAAAGATATTTGAATTTGTTAAAAAATCTAATTATAAAATTAAATTTTGCTCGAAGTACTTCGGCTACTAATACTAAGAGAGGTAGTTTCCTTGGTGTATGGGAGAAGAATTCTAGGTCCCTGACTCTTAAGCAACAGGTCATAAGTGGGTAAATCTGTTGTGGCAAGATTTGTAAGTTTTGTAAAAAAAACGCAATAGTCTTTACTTGTTACTAAATACTTGATCGAATTGTTCGTTTATTATTTATGTAGGAATAGGAAAATTTTTATTATCTATTTGTATTAAAATAACTGATTCTACTATAAAAAATACACATAAGCGTTTATAATATTATAATAATGTAATCGTTTGCATATTAAATGATTATTAGTGTTATCATCGTCAGTTATGTTGTACCTATAATTAACTACGGTGGAGTTTAATTTTCACGTATCAACATGCGAATTGCATTTTCATTTTCACGCACAACAATATCATAAAAATACACTTTCATTCCCATTGCTTCGGAATAGAGCAGGTTCCGAAATGTCGATCTCTTTATATAAACGTATGTGGCATCGATATCAAAACATTTGGAATAAATTCCAGTATTGCACACTTATGAAATAAGGGAACTAATTGAAGTCTTCCACTGAGGAGGCAAATCTTTAATAAATTACGAATTATCACACAATCACTGCAAAAAATAACACGCAAGTCACGTGGAAGTTTCCTATTTTAAAGAACTTTTTGAGATAAATAATTAATAGTCATATGTAAAATACCCTTATGAAAAACAGCAGCCCAATCAACCAATCAACATCATGACTCATGAGATTTATTTTTAGTGTTATTGACAATTCATCTTTTACAAGTGGCAACTCATTATGGTTTAATGTGAGTGTTTCTGTTATTGATTCTTTGTATTATCTTAATGGTTGACAAAATAGTGAATAATTGATGATTATTATTATCATTATCGAATAATAGTAATTCGATAGTGGTGTTCTCTTTTCTTAATGATGTAGACTTTGATGCAATAATAAAAATTTCTGCAAGAAAAAAACCTCCGAAAAAAATCAGCAAATGAATATTAATATAGTAAGTAATAATAGTAATATAAATCAACATTTAAATGAACAATATTTTTAATTGTAGTATGACAGTATGACAAAACGTTAAACTTTAATTATAAATTTTCTTATCCCTTAAACGGTTAATCGGCTATTGATTGCCGAAATTTTTTTCTCTTATAAAAAACTTTTTCTTAAGGTATCACTTCCTAATACGAAAATATCTTTGAGATTCAGCTGATTTGATCTATGAATAAAAATTCGGTTGTTGTCCTTGTGGTTTTCGTAAAATCTTCCTTAAAAGTTGGTCGATTGACTATTTTTACTTTGCAGATCGTTGGCAATAAGAATGCAAGATCAAAACATTATTCCGTATTATATATATACTATTACTATTAAAGAATATAATGATGTCGATCCTTTCCGTTTATCACGAATTCCGAATGTTTGCTTTATTATTTATCTTCGATAAACACCTCAAAGTAAATAACCGGTTGCGTTTTTTCTTTTTTCTTTGTTGTTTATTGTTTGTTGTCGTTAAACTATTCACTTTATGTATGACATAAGACACACAGCCCATTCACAATCAACAATCAATTTCTTGTTTAATTAACATTAAATCGAATATTTAAAAGACCCATTTATCTGTGATTGCGAAGAATAACCAAAATTCTAAAATAACTGGTTTACTATAAATTTTTATAAATTCCTTGACTGTATACAATTTGAAAAAAAAACCAAAATTTGCCAAGAATTAACTGAACAAATCAAAATGAAATTCAATATTTCCAATATTTCTCTTCTCTTTTTGGCTATCTTTGCTGCTGTTGTTGCTTTAGCAAGTCCAACAAGTTCAACGGATGATAACAATAATTTGGAGAAGCGAGGTATTTCATTTAACTATTTCAATAAACATCATTATAGTCAAATATCATTGTTTTTTAAAAAATACTAACTATTGGGTTTCATTTGATTTTAAATAATAAATAGTTCCGTAAGTATTATTGTTTATTACAGTCAATATCATTGTTTTTGAAAACATATTAATTATTGGTTTTCATTTATTTTAAATAATAAATAGATTGGTAAGTTACTATTATTACACTCAATATCATTATTTTTGAAACATACTAACTGTTAATTTTGTTTTATTTTAAATAATGAATAGCCTGTAAGTATTTTCGTCATAATTATTATCATTATTTTTGAAAACATATATTAACTGTTAATTTTTATTTTATTTTAAATATTGAATAAGGCTGTAAGTATTTTCGTCATTATTATTATCATTGTTTTTGAAAACATATTAACTGTTGATTGATTCTTGTTTTATTTTAAATAATGATAGGGAGTAAGTATTTTTGTCATTATTAGGCCGTTCAAATTTAATTATTTGTTTAACATCTTTGAAAATTAATGTTTGTTACACACAAAAGTCACATGTTTTATGAAAAAAGTTCTTCGAATACTTTGTTACACAGTTAAATCACGTGCTTTATAATTATTCTTTAAAATGTTACATTAATTTTTTATATTGTACAACGTAACTTACAATACACGGCAAACATTCTGGCAATAAAAAGCAAGTGATAAACTAGATTTGAATCGGATCTGAACTTGATCTTCAATTTAGAGAAGTAACGACTATATACTGGTGAAGTTTCAAGAGCAATGGGTTCTATATAATATTTAGTGTAACACAAAACTTCCACTATGCTTCTGGGGGATGTTAAATAAATAAATAAATTGAACGGCCTTATTATTATTATCATTATTTTTGAAAACATATTAACTGTTAATTTTTACTTTATTTTAAATAATGAATAGGAAGTAAGTATTTTCATCATTACTATTATCATAGTTTTTGAAAACATATTAACTGTTGATTGATTCTCATTTGATTTTAAATAATAAATAGAGAGTAAGTATTTTCATTGTTACTATTATTAAAGCAAATATCATTATTTTTGAAACATATTAACTGTTAATTTTTACTTTATTTTAAATAATGAATAGGAATTAAAGGGAGTAAGTATTTTCATCATTACTATTATCATTGTTTTTGAAACATATTAACTGTTGACTGATTTTCATTTTATTTTAAATAATAAATAGAGGGTAAATATTTTCATCATTACTATTATTAAAGCCAATTTCATTATTTTTAAAAACATATTAACTGTTAATTTTTACTTTATTTTAAATAATGAATAGGGAGTAAGTATTTTCATCATTACTATTATCGCTATTATCATTGTTTTTGAAAACATATTAACTGTTGATTGATTTTCAATTTATTTTAAATAATAAATAGAGAGTAAGTACTTTCATAATTACTATTATTAAAGCCAATATCATTATTTTGAAAACATATTAACTGTTAATTTTATTTTTATTTTAAATAATAAATAGAGAGTAAGTATTTTCATCATTTATTTATTATTACAGTCAATATCATTGTTTTTGAAAATGTATTAACTGTTGATTGTTTTTTGTTTTATTTTAAATAGTAAATAAGGCTGTATTTGCTCTTTAGCTCTTTGATGCTTCATTTATTACTTTAATTTTTGGTTGTAATATTATAAATTGTACCCTTCTTTTACTTTTATCTTTTATTTTTTATTATTGGTTATTATAATTTTTACATTGCATAAGGTTCTCATGCAAACGATAATGTTTATTTTACAACATAGGAAGCAAAATTAAATAAATCAAATTCATACACAATAAGTGTTTATTATTAGGCAAACAGCACTATTAAGCTATTTTTGGTTGCTTTGTTATTTTAGGTACAAAATGACATCAATATACTATTTATATAGCATTTCTGCGAGATATAATTAAATCATATAATTAAACTTTAATAAACAGTGACGTTTGAAAGAATAGCTTGTGTTTGCCCGATAACATCGATGTTGGGCGTGCGATGGACAATTTCAGTGACATCCAGGATGTCATGATATTGGCCGCTGCGCGCCCAATATCTTATACTTATAATTCGAAAAAGCAAGTTTTACGTGCCAATATAAATGGGGAATGAAAAGAAATAAAGTTATGTTCAATAAAAGAGTCAAATAATAATAATAATACGAATCGAAATACACAACCCTAAAAAAAAAGTACCGACTCAGCCGAAATAATCGGGTAAACATTTAATACAAAACAGTCATTTTTTACTAAGCAAATCGATATTGTGAATTAATAAAAAATTGTTTGTTGAAATGATTTCCATAACATTTTAAAATATCGCATTGGTCTGATTATTATTGATGTTTAAAAATCAAATTAAAATTTTTCGAAAATTTTTCAA